AAAAAAAAAAAAAAAAAGGCCATAACAAATGATGCTGTTTCAGATGCGAGAAATGTTATAGCTTACGCGAATTTTGAAATCACGATCAGCACTTAAAATAAAGCGACCATCCGGTGAAAATTCCTGCAGAAGAGAATCACGTAACAGCAATTAAACGAAAAATAACCTAACTAGGAAAAAAAAAAAAAGCAATAACAAGTTTTGCGACAAACCAAGCTAGTGATGATACTGCAATAGTGAGAAAGAAGCGGTGCCGGTTTCTTATCGCGCAACGGTGGATCGAGATCGACGACCCAAACAAGGCCGAACTTATCCGCGAAGCACACGAAGGTTCCGTCGTTGCTAACGGCAACAGCGGTTACTCTCTTCTCGGAGGACCTAATTACAGGAAGGAACTAAATGATTGAATTGAAAGAATGCACGCGACGCAACAGAGGGTGAGTGTGAGAGAGAGATGTTATTATTACACGGTGGTGATGCAGCGCCACGACTGCGTTGACCAGACCTTGACGGTTTTATCGTCACCGGCGGAGACTAAGAGTTTTCCGCTGGCGCCGAAGCGAATGGCTCTGATGTTGTCCTTGTGGAAGGGAACGGCGTCGGAGTCGTCAATTAAGGAGGCTGCGGAACCGGCACTGTGGGTTTATCAGCATAATAACAAAACTAAGATGAAATGAAATGAGAAATGAGAGAGAAAGTGCCTACAGGAGATCGAAGACGCGGAGGTGGGGGCCGACGGCGACGGCGACGGAGGACTGGTCGGGGTGGACGGCGATGAGAGCCGGAGCCACTTCGGTTTCCTTCTTCGGTTCCGATTCCATGATGCTACTCGGAAACTAACCTCCGTGTTAGGGTTTGGCGCTTCTTTCGTTCCAAATATTGGGCTCACTTTGCTCGCTTGACCCACCAAGGAAAAAATGAAAAATGAAAAAAAAAAAAAAAACTAGAAAATAATGTGATTAATTCAAATTTTAATCACATTATCTGGTCGTTTCGATTTTTAGATGAATTAGACATTGTAAAGTGCACACTTCAATTGCTGTATCAAAAAATATCTTGGTAATATCCTTGATAAACGTTAGATGCTTAATAGTGAACGTATCCATAAAAGCGAGAGGAGAGAAATTCTTAACTAATTTTGAAGTGAAGCCAAAATGAAATGTTTATATTGTATGTTACATATGTAACAACTAACAAGCCAAACTTATCAAACTATTTGTGTATCTCATTTTAATAACATTTTATTTTGGCAAACAGTAATTTCTATGAATCGGAAAATACATGTCTAACAAAAGCAAGGAAAGAAACATGTGAAACATCTTCCAAGTCAATTAAAGAAAAGAGACCATCATTCTAACTGTAGTGCGTAGTATCAACATAACCCTCAAACACTCCATTATTGAGATAAGTATGTAAGGGATATGGGAATGAAAAACCCATTTCATAGCTAATTTAATTTTCATATTAACTTAGCTGCAAAAGCCACCAGTGCAAGAGGCGCGGGTTAAATTTTAAAAAAATATATACTTGGCTTATCTAAAATTGAAGGGTGTATTTTAGAAGATAAAATGTGTTTACCATTGTTAATTAGAAAATTAATGATTAAAATATCAACTATTGATATTCTATTTAACAATTATGTGTGTAGTTGATATTTCACTTTCAAGAGGTGGAGAGGCTACTTCATATAGCTTTAGCTTTTTCACTTTTTTATTACACAAGTTTGAGACTATAGACTTAAACCACGGAAAAGGTTAACACTTATATTCATGTTTCTTTCCAACGAAAGACATACTAAAGATGAATTGAAAGTACAACAGACTTCACTGAAATATTGGCACTAAAATATGTCCTATAGGCCACACACAAGACTTTCAGACCCTTTGGTTCTTATCTTCTGTCGGAAGACTATTGTTTAATCTCACCAAAAATTCCATATTGATAAGGAATCAAAGTGAATGTTAGTTTACAACCACCTTCCTATCCTAATTTGTCATGACGTCTTTTGAAGAGAAAGTCACAAATCCACAAAAAAGTGAAATGCGGCATACTTGGCAAAACAATTCACATTCGACAGTTCTACTATAAAGTTGGATAGATAAGCGGGTGAATAGCTACGCAATCCCTCTCACCTATTTTCACTAAAGAAAATAAACGGGTGAATAGCTAAATGAAGTTGATATTTTCCCCGCGAAGTGATAAATTTCAAGGTGGGAATAGCACAGATTGATTTGTTGTCTGGTTAATGGTGATCCTTTACTGTTTTGCTGCGAACAAAACAGATACAGAAACTCACCTCGTTACCACATGTGATCCACGTAAAAACAAGAACAATAACAAATATTATGGCTTACATACAAAACAGGGAAGCCATTGAACACTGATTCTTTGTCTAGTTGAAGGGATCCAAATCCCCACGAGCACATATTACACTAGAACCTAGTAAACGAAAGCCTAAATTGTCAGCAGCGTACAACCAACAATAGTACCACGACACCGAGTCATTGGAGCTGCCTGGCGCCAAGCTGGTCTCTCACTTCCAAGAGAGAGAACATCAACTTCGGATAATGGCTTAATGTCCCAATTCCATCTATCAGGGCCAATGAAGCCTCCAATCACGTATAACTCATCACCTAGTCCAGTCATTGCAAATCCAATTCTCTTTCGAAACTCGGATGCTGAACCGACAACCTTTCTCCCTTCTTTGTCCTGCTTGATAATTAATCCATTGCTCATCACATAAAGTGCATCACGGACAACTGCCATTGGACCTTGGAGCCACGCACATTCCTCAACTGCCCACCCAGGCCCTGCATTATCTAATACTTGCACTGTTGACATATCCTTGTGCAGTACATGTACCTTTCCACCAATCACTACTCCTGAACAGGCTGAATTATGAGTGCGATGAAGATCAGGCATTGGAATCCAAACATCCTTCTCGGGATCATACATTTCTGCTTGAGATATAGATTTTCTGCAGCTGGTGAAGCCCCCAGCCACAACAATTTTCCCATTCAAAACGCAGCATGCAAACATAGAACGGGGAACAAGCATTGATGCACGGGGGGCCCATTGCCGGACTACAGGGTCATAAGACCAGACTTCATCTGTTGCAAAACAACCATCTTGGTCTCCAGTCAAAGGATCAACAGCATCACTTCCCCCACCAATCACAAACAACTTTCCAGAAGTGGAAACGGCACCAAAGTTGGAAAGGTGCCTGATCTTTGAGGGAAGAACAGGAAGTGTAATCCAGAGATCTCGCATAGGGTCATACAGCTGCCATAAGTTCTCTGGATCAAAAGCACAGACACATAACAGATCCTCAATCGAACCAACCTCCTGCCGAGCTTTAAATAGTTCAGGGCTACGAATAGCTGCTTGCCAAGAACGAGAGACAAGCTCCAATATTGGGTGGAGATAGAAGGGAACCCGTGCAAGGCACCTAATTGCAACAGCGTCAGGAAGTCCTTCAATCAGTCCAGACATTATAAATTTATAACTGCAGTTTCATCTATTTCTGATAACTCTTCACCACTGACTTCTGTTTTTGTAGAAGGTGCACCTGCAATCACAATATTTATCCATTAATGTATAGCAATATTGTGATACTTTAGAAATTGAAATTCAGAGTGTCAGTACTAATTTGAAAGGCATGGTAGACTTTGAATGAAATTCAAATTCAATTTTCAAACTTTAATGAAAATCTGTTGTCTAGAAACATGGAAGACTTTATTGGATATCTAAACAAATTAAACAAGAACATTTCTTTTCTGTGAATTTAACTTCAGCAAGAATAACAACCAAAACAGTTCAGTTGAATATAATTTATGATAATATTGGCTGCCTCTATAAATGATTTGTTTTATAGAACTTGCTATATTTTAGAACTTGAGAAAAGATACAGGTCATTAAATTAACAAAATATTAAGGAATATTGGATTTACATGTAAAAATATATTTAATTTTATTTTCATTCACTCTGATTATAAATAGTAGTAACAACTAACAAGTGAATCTCACATAGAGAAACATTATGACCCATTGGATTTCAAACCAGTGGTCCCTCCCTCTACCTAATGGTAGAAGTCATGTTGACAATCTAGACACAAACATGATAGTTTATTTCCTAAGAGTCAAACAAAGACAAGCTGATTGATCATTGTACACTTTAGCCTTAAAAAAAAAAAATTTAAAACTCCAATTCTCGACATACATCCTCCTTGGATTTAATCACTGCAACTATAGACTTCGTTTACCAAACAAGCATAGTAAACTCATAACTCACGGCCGATTGGATTGACCGCTCTGATACCATTAATGTAACGCCTAATTCTAATACCCAATTTATTTAATACAAATTATAAAATTTTATAATTATTTTTCAAAATTATATCATTAACAATATCTATATATTTATTTAATAAAAATAAAAGTAAAGAAAAGAATATTTTGTGAATTTAATACATGACATATCTTTCTAAAATATTTAGAATAACGTATTATTTTACAAGCATATTACATCGTGGGTGACCATAAGGTACACCTTATTAGCATGTTACATCGTGGGTATGCGGCCTCAGCGGCACACCTGGAGTAATATATGCATATGATGCATGTCATATAATCTTATTGACTCAACATTTAACTTATTACATAATTTCATTTAGTACATCATGTCATAGTCTCATAATCATAGTTTGTCTCAATAGTCCATTCTTAGGTCTCATGTCATTTGTCCATATTTCACATGGTCATGTCATAAATACTCCTCATAAGGTCCGCACAGGAATTCACAGAGATCCAGAGAACATTCTTGTTCATATTAAAACTCATTTATTATTAACATTAATTTCATATTCATTTATTACTT